GTGTCTTCCTAGGTTATCATGAGTCTTTTAGGGGGTATAGGTGCATGGATCTACTGACCAATAAGATATATGTTTGCAGGCATGTGTAGTTTGATGAAACGATGTTTCCTTTTGCCACTAAGAATATTTTGTAGGAACCTTTGGTCTCAGGATCTTCATCTTGGGCTAAGTCTGTTCTACCGCCATGCTAAGCCATGTCCACTGTTCACACAGACTCGGCTGACACAACTCCGCCAGTTGAGGCCGTACCCGAGGCAGCCGTACTACGACCACAATGCATAGGTCACACAGACTCGGCTGACACAACTACGACCTCGAGGTCGGTCCATGATGCCAAACGTTTGCACCCATGTCATGACCACTAGGAGTCAGTCTCAGGCTTCTCCTACTGCTTTAAATGCATAGGTCAGTCCCACTGGGCCAACTTGTTATACACAGCAGTTAAGTATTATGAGTGGCGTGAAGCAATGGATCAAGAGTTCAATGCTCTTTTGCAGAATCAGACATGGTGCATTGTTCCTTCTAAGCCAGATATGAATGTTATTGGGTGCAAGTGGGTATTTCACAAAAAAACGAAAGGCAGATGGTTCTATTGAGAGACACAAGGCAAGATTAGTAGCAAAAGGATTCAATTAGGTGCCTGGATAGGATTTCTTTGATACATTCAGCCCAGTGGTAAAACCCACTACTGTCATGTTGCATTTTTCCTTGGCTTTATCTTCTGGTTGGATTATTGGGCAACTTGATGTTCATAATGCTTTTCTAAATGGAAATCTGTCTGAAACTATCTATATGAAGCAGTCACCTGGTTATATTTATGTTCAATATCTCAATCATGTTTGCTTGCTTAAACATTCTTTGTATTGCTTAAAATAGGCTCCCAGAGCTTGGTTTAATCGTTTACATACATATGTTTTTACTCTCTGTTGGTTTTCAAGCATAAAAAATGGATGTGTCTCTATTTTACTACTCATAGGACTCTGCTTATGTGTATTTTTTTTTTGTCTATGTTGATGATATACTTATGATGGGAAGTGATCAAGATCTTGTGGCTCATTTGATAATAAAGTTATCTGCTGCATTTAAGATTAGGGATCTTGGTAAACCTGGTTTCTTTCTTGGAATTGAAACAATTAAATGTGATGATGGTATTTTACTTTCGCAATAGAGATATATGAATGATATTTTGAAACGTGTTGGAATGGCAGAATGTAAAGCATTATCTACTCCTATCTCTGTTTCGAAATCTATCTCCTTTAGTGCAGATCTATATGAGGATCCTACACAGTACAAAAGTTTGGCAGGAACACTACAATATCTAACTATCACACGCCCAGACCTATAATTCCCAGTCAATCAATTGTGTCAACACATGCATGCTCATACAGTATTCCATTGGGAACACCTAAACCGAGTCTTGAGGTAAGTTAAGGGAACAATTAATTTTGGCTTGCGTATAAGAAAGTCAACATCAAGAAAACTCCATGCATTCTCTGATTCTGAATGGGCTAGATGTCCTGAGGACTGTACATCCATGAGTGGTTTTGCTGTGTTTCTTGGATCCAACCTTGTCTCTTGGGTTTGTAAGAAACAAAGAATTGTTGCTAGATCTTCTACTGAGGCAGAATACAAAGCTCTAGCAGATGTCAGTGTCGAAGTTACGTGTATAGTATCATTGCTGCGTAATATTAAAGTGTCAGATATATCTGTTCCAAAATTATGGTTGACAATTTTGGTGCTACTTATATGTGTGCAAATCCCATCTTTCATGCTCGTACCAAGCACGTGGAAATTGATTATCACTTCGTTCGAGATAAAGTTGCTTCTGGAGACATTCAAATTAATTTAATCTCCACAAAAGATCAACTTGCACATATTTTTACTAAAGCTTTACCTAGTCTCAGATTTTCTTTTCTTAGAGGCAAGCTACAGGTTACTAGTATACCATCTGCTTGAAGGAGAGTATTAGGACTAGTATTAGGACTCTTTATATTTGAGTCACATTATGACTCCCTATCCTAGTCTTCCTATGATTCTCTCTTGTATATATTCCCTCAATCTGTACAATTGTAATTATTGCTCATCTAATACATTTTATACAGTTCTGATCCATCGGACCTTTAGAAGTCATACTAATATTGGGTTGAATTGTGGGCTTTCTTTTAGTTTGAATTTGCAACTAAATGCAATGCAACCCTAATGGCATAATGCAAATTAAAGTAAATTTTAAGATTGCTTAAGCTATTTTAACTTACTTTTAATTTCAGTGGCATATATAGGTTTTATTTGATGGGTTAAACATCACGTCAATTGTCAAATAAAATAACCCCTTACAAAATGAACTAAATTATGTATATATAATTCTTTATGCTTAGTAATAATTTATGTATTGATTATTCTCAATATAAATAGAGATAACTATGGTGCACATAACAACTATATAAAACTCTACCTTCTAGTAATGTTTGAAGTTTGGACTAATGTTCAAAGATAAGATAAATATCTTTTAGATAATAAAATTGAATTCAAATTTTATATGCTATTCATGGGATTTTCTATGGTAGCTAGTGATAGTACCAAGTATATTTAAATTTATCAAACTTGAGCAGTGTTGCAAAAATCTCGTCTAGACACTGATTAATAGGCGCCTAAACGCTAGGTGCTGACCAGCCGCCTAGCATATCACCATAGTCGGTGGTTTAGGCCAGCTAAGCACCACCTAGGCTGTCTAGGCGCTGATCGCCTAGGCCTCCTAGTCGCTGGCTACGCCTCCTAGGCACCGACTAGGTCGCCTAGTCGGTCGATTAGCTATTGTTCCCATCTTTTTTAAATGGGTTATTTAAGTCAAAATGATATCATTTTGATCGAAATAACCCTTCTAACTTAAATTGTTCAAACTCTAGATGTTTTTTAAGTTAACATTTAATATTTTAGTATTAATTATTACCGCCCGTTTGGTTCACGAAATAGGCTGGGAATGGCATAGCATTCCCAGTAACAGACCTATTCTTTTGTTTGGTAACAATGTCTATTACCAGGAATAATGTTCCTAGTAATAGCCTATTACCTCAGATGAGGTAATAGCTATTACCAGGCCCCCTAGTATTAACTTATTCCTGAGTCCTCAGGAATAGAATATTTTTTTTTTATTTTAACCTTATCTTTCTAGCCGTTCTCTCCCTACGTATCATTCTACCCTTCCTCGATTCCTTCATCATCTACATCAAAGTCAAGCAATTCTTTCTGCCACATCAAATTAAAGCATCAAACAAAGGTAAATTTTCAAAATTTTATTCTTTACAAATTAAATATTTAAATATTTAATTATATATATATATATATATATATATATATATATATATATATATATATATATATATATATATATACACACACAGCTGCGGCGCGGAGGGTTCCACAGCCGCAACAGTTTAGTTTAATTTTTTTTTTTAGTTTAGTTTATTGTATCATTAATGTAATTATCACAAAATCCGCATAGACAGTGTAATTGGTTTGATTGTACAATGATAGACTTGGTGGGAATACCAGATAATTTAATGATATGTTCATCTAATAATTTACCCATCTAATATCAATCAAAGTTTATTTAGCTAAGATTAGACAAACAGATAATCTTTAACATGGAAATTGGTGAAAATGAAAGAAAAGATTGAATTGTTTTTTATCTTGAATTTTAATACTTACTTAGGACTTGCGTTTAATAACTCGTACTGAAAGAAGGAAAAGATGTGTAGCTGTATTGCGTGTATGGTTGGATATGTGTGCTTCTGTGAGTTTATTGTTTATCATGATGATGTCAACCTTGACAATTTTGTGTTCTAATAAAAAACGAGTGAAATCTTATATTATAAATACTTTAGGGTCTCGAGAATATATGTTACGAACTGTGTATTCGGGTGATGAAAAATGCATATCTCAACTTAGGATGAATCGATACTTTAATATAGTATTGAATGCAATTTGTGTATGTTCTTCCGGGATGGGAAGGATCTGTAGCAGACAATAGAGTTCTTCGGGATGCATTATCTAGAAGACATCCACTTAAGGTCCCTAATGGTAAGCATTATAATATTAAATTTCAATTATCATGTAATATAATATGCATTCGTAATAAACTATAAACTTATGTTTCTAGGTTGTTACTACTTAGTTGACGGAGGATATGCTAATAGTGAGGGATTTTTGGCACCATTTAGAGGTCAAAGGTACCACTTAAATGAATGGCGTCAAGGTTATCAACTGACAACTCCTCAAGAATTCTTTAATATGAAACATGCAGCTGCTCGAAATGTCATAGAACGCTGTGTTGGATTATTGAAAATGGGATGGGCTATACTTAGAAGCCCATCATTTTATCCTGTTAGAATACATAACAGAATTATACTTGCATGTTGTTTGCTGCATAATTTTATTAGAAATGAGATGAATGTTGATCCTATGGAAGATGAATTCGTACAAAGTAACGCCATACATGAAGATGATGATGTTACACAAATAGAGCCTTCAGAAATTTGGAATAATTGGAGGACAGAATTAGCAAATGACATGTTCAATGAATGGATACCATCTAGAAATTAAGGACATGTTCATTGATGTTTGATTTTTTGATTTGGTGTTTTTTTGTAATGTGGTTTATGAACAATGTAATGTGTTTGAGTTTGATGAATAATTTATTATTTCAATGTATTTGTAGTTAAGAATGGCTTCTCCCCCTACATCTGCAACCATTGGATCTCAAAGTGTTAAGCAAACAAAAAGAAAGTGGACACCCGAAGAAGACATTATATTAGTGTCCTGTTTGACCGAAATGCATACTGTAGGAAAATTTAATTAATTCCGATACATGGTTTAAGACAGGTTACTTATTAGAACTTGAAAGAATGATTTTGAACAAAATACCAAATTGTACCATAAAAGCTAAGCCACATATTGAGAGTAGAATTAAAACTTTGTAAAAAGAATGGAGCATTATTCATGATATGGTGCAAGGTAAGAACACTAGTGAGTTCGGTTGGAATGATCAAAAGCACATGGTGTATGCTGAAGATGCAATTTGGGAGTCATACTTAATTGTAAGTATTTACTTTTTTTTTTTGTACTTTCATTTATTTTTATTAATGTATACATACAAATAATTTATTTATGTTTATTATAGAGTCACAAAGAAGCTGTCCCTTTTAGAACAAGAAACTTTAGGTTTTATAATGAGTTATCTGCAATATATTCTAAAGATCGTGCAACTGGAAACGATGCACAGACAGCAGATGACGTAGTTGAAGAAATACAAGATGAAGAACAGAATGATATAAGAGCTGACACAGAAGATAGTGCATTTGTTGGTTTAGATGATATTGATTTAACGAGTACACAACCTGAGCCACAAAATGATGGTAGAAAAGGAAGCAATTCAAGTAAGAGAAAGAGGAGCCATGATGAAGCTATTGAGAATATGCTTAATGCTGCGAAGCTAATAAGCAATACAATGTCAGAGGTTGGTACGAATTTGTCTGATGGTCTTCAATATGATCGTGATATGGATATGTTTCAGAAGCTTGAACGTGCATTAAAAGAGGTTGATGGTTTGGCAAATGATGAAATGGACCTTGTTTCGTTTAAGCTCACTGATCATCCTAATAAAGTAGCTTTCTTTCTCAGCCTTGATCCTGATCGAAGACTACAATGGATCAGAAGATTCCTTGCTATCAATTAATCATTTTATGAACATTGTAACTTGCATTGGATTATTTTGAGTATTTTGTTAAAAATAACATATGTTACGCTTCTTTTGAATATTGTTAAATGTTCTTTACAAAAGTTTGTTAAACATATACATATAGTAGTAGTAGTAGTAGTAGCAGCAGCAGCAGCAGTAGCAGTAGTAGCATTAGCAGTAGTAGTAGTAGTAGTAGTTAATAATAATAATAGTTTTTGTACAAGGGCATTTATATCTTTTAAACATATATTCTATTCTTATTCCTTAACCAACCAAACATTGGAATACAATTCCCAATGTCTATTCCTTTAGCGAACCAAACAACAGAATACAATTCATATTCTATTCCTTACCTATTCTATTCCCTATGGAATAGCATTCCTATTCCCTCCAAATTCATTCCGTGAACCAAACGGCCCGTTAAAGTATTAAATAGTTTATAATTATCAAGTCTTAAAAAATTAAAAAATTTTAAACAAATTTTTTTAAATAAAATAAAATAAAAAAATACACGGGTGCCTATGCCAATATGAAATTACTTAATTGTTCATCTATTTAACACCAATTTGATGGAATAACAAACGGATGACCACATTAAGCAAAAACACAAAAGTCAGTAGAAATAATGTAAAATTTGTTTATTTATTTTATATTATTTGAGTTTTTATTAATATGAAAAAATAGCTTGAATTAGCACTTAGTGGAAATAATATAAAATTTTAAAATATACACTAACACCAAGGTAGGGCCAGAGTGGGTGAAGTGATGCAAAATTAAAAAACGTACAAAAATTTCGAGGTGGGTCAATGTTAGTTGAGAAATTGTAAGAATGACAAATAAAATTTACTTTTTATTAAATAAGATTACATCTAAAACTAATTATTACATGTACGTTAAATGTAAATGTAATAATTGCATATGTTACACTTCTAAACATGAGAGATTGTGAATACATTTGGCACTGGGTCAAATATTACTACCAAACTAATTATTACTTAAACTCTACTTCTTTTGGGTCCCATTTTATTTGTCTTACTTTCCTTTTTAGTTTGTCCCAAAATGTTGTCATCTTTCCAAAATTGAACATCACCATCATTCTACTACTCTTTCCAAATTACCCTTATAACTATTGCTTTCTTTATTGCTTTTATTTTCGGGAAAATGGCACTTTTCACCCCTGAGTTATATACTTATAGTATTTTTTTCCCCTCAATTATTTAGGTAAGCACATTAGCCCCCTCAATTATTCTAAAAGTGGTGGTTTTCCCCCTGAAATATTAAATTGACATTTCTACCCTTAAAGTAAACATTTTATATATTTTACTTCTCCAACAAATTATTGCGTATACGTAGGGATGACCACGGTTCGGTTCGAACTAAACCGGACACTATAGCAATCTATTAAAAGTTTCCGGTTATGATTCAGATCTGGAACCTAATATTTGGATTTCAATTTATTAAAATTATGAATAAAACATATTGGATCTGAACTGTGAACCGGCGATTCCGGATCAATTTCGCGATTTTGAACTGTCTTTATTTTAAAATTTTATTTTTTATTTTAAAATAGTCTAAATTCAACAATAAATGTATTTTATTTTTTCAGTTCGGAACATGAACCGTCCGTTCCAGTTCGCGATTTTAATAAACTCTAAATATCGAGTTTCGATTCTAAATTATAATTGGAATATTTCGGTTTGGTTGCTATAGTGTTTGTTTGGTTTGAACCAAATTATGGTCATAATTTGTTGGAGAAGAGAAATAAATGAAATATTTATTTTAAGGGTAAATATGTCCATTTAACATTTCAGGGGGGGGGGGGGGGGGGGAAATAGCCACTTCAATAATTCAGGGGGGCGAAAGTGCTATAAGTATATAATTCAGGAGGAAAAAGTGTTATTTTCCCTTTATTTTCAAAAGTGAAAAAGTGAGGGGCATAATTGAAAACTATATAGCATTTACTTTAATTCCTTAAGAAGCGTACAAAAAGCAATCGTTATATCCTACACCACGGCGCACATAGCACTGTGCGCCGCGCGCCTCCCAAAACGACGTCGTTTTGGGGTAGTGTTGGGAGGCGCGGTAGAAAGTTGTTGAGATTATGTGTATTTGTTCACAACGTTATGTGTATTTGTTCACAACGTTATGTGTATTGGTTCATACAGTTACGTGTATTTTTTATACAATTATGTACATTCTTTTTATACAATTATGTACATCCGAATCAGAAAATTTGTGTGTATTATGTTAAGAGTTGATGTGTATTATGTTAAAAGTTTATGTTTATTATGTATTATGTTAGATTATGTGTATTATTGGTGAGCTGTCGTAGGCTCCAAAATTAAAACCTTACAAACGTAGTAGCGGGAGTAAGGATCGATCCCACGAGGAGTAACTAGTTTAAAATATGTGCTCAAATTAAAGGAAGTGGGGTTTGGAATATATCGAGAATAAAGATAAATTAAAAGAGAATTTAAATAAAGAAGTAATTTAACTAAACGAATAAAGCAATGAAAATAATATATCGAAAACACTTATAATAGGAGACCTTGGTTAGTAAAGATCCACCATCAGAATTCAACACTGATCATTGATTAATAAAGTAATTAATATGCAATTGAATATTTGTCGTGAAATTATTTCATTTCTGTTTTCCCTTAGTTGTAGGTAAATAAAGCACAAGCGGTTTAATTACCCCTAACTACTAAATAATTTAGTAACAGCAATAGGAACTAGGAAAACCGACAAACTAAATAACACAAGCACAAGCGGTTGCATTTAATTTAGGAAAATATTCTACCCGAGACCAATTATCACTAAGCCGTCAATAATTAACCTCAGTTGCTACTGAATATTAGAATAATTTGTAGCACAACATTATCTAATATAGCAAATAATTATATCAAATAAATAACTAGTAGGCCTCCCTAGCAATTAAATGATACAACTATTCAAATAATTTAGAAGAATATTTAATACTCAAAATGCATAAAAACATATATATAATATAGTTAAATAAATAACCTTACAGCGTTATGAACTCCGGGGCTTCAATTCACTAAACCAAATAGAAATTAGCCACAAATGGACATTGATAACAACTTCAACGAATACTATAGAGGAGGGAAGAATGAACATTTTACAATAAGAAACTTCTACTATTTATAGCATTCTAAAAATAAACCTAAACTATTTCCTACCACTTGTTTCCTACTTTTGTGTCATAAGTTAAAACTCCTTGTAATAATGCCTTGGAATAGCTCCCATTGACTTTATTTTTGCTGCTGCACCATATGTTTTGTTAGGAAAGCAAACAAATTAAAATATTATATTTATTTAATTTATTTGTTGATTTCTAATATATATATATATATATATATATATATATATATATATATATTTATTTATTTATTTATTTTATTTATTTACTAGTAGTACGTAATATATATATATATATTAGTACATTCTATATATTATATATTATATTATATATATATGTTCAGTTTGTACGCAATATATATATATATATATATATATATATATATATATATATTAATTAGTATGTATTATATATATATTATATATTATATATATTATATATTATATATTATATATTATATATTGTATTATATATAAAAAGAACTAATTATTAGATAATATTAAATAACCAATGCAAAATTATTATCAAAATGTACCTAAAATATGAGTGTAAAATGTGCATATCAAATCCCCCACACTAAAACATTTGCTTGTCCTCAAGCAAAAAATATTATTTGCGAAGTAAATTAAGATGAAATTCCCAAAACTCATAACATATCATGAACAACAATTTGAAGCACTCTGCAATTAATAAGTTAGCACCCCTGTTCAAAAAAAGAGAGAACTAAACAAGTAAGCTCTCACAGGAATATCACTCATCACTCAAGTGTTTGATGGGTATAGATTTCACTCATGTTCATTCCTATAAAATTGCTCTACCATAGGCTTGCATATCTTCTCAATCACCACTACAAGAGTCATGCATGACACAAATCATAAGGACTTTTCATAGGTTGTAATGGGGCTAGGGTTAAGGTAGGGAATATTTTAGGAAAGTAGTTTAAATAAAACCTTCAAAGTAGAGGAGCAAAATAAATACAATTAATCTAACACCCTCAATTTTTTTTCACTCAAAACATTTCCCATTGAGGCTCCAACATGCCTATCATTCTCAAAAGTATAGAATGTTTCCTCAGTATTACCAGAATTCCCTTTACTTCATTTATTTAGAAGTAACTTCAACTCAAAATCAATTGCTGATTCTTTCTCATTTATTTCAGCAATATTTTTCTTTTTCAAACATATATTCTCCATTTTTCCCTTTTCATTTTTTCAATTTCCATATTTTTTTTTTTGGAATCATGAATTGTCTTCGTTTTCCTTTTCATAGAAGACCAGTGACAAATCGGTAATGAAGATACAACACACCTCATTCTCAATCATACTAACACAAGAAAGTGACCTCCCCCACACTTCTTCCTCACAACCTCACGTAGATTACAAGAATAATTCAAAATTTGCTCCACTAGTTATTCAGCTGGGTGAAGGTATTATTTTTAGATATAAAAGGCTTGTAATGTGGTTCAAAATAAAGAAAAGAATGGCCATAAAGTTCAAAGTGGGTTAACGAAGGAAAATAAATCATGGGACAAACTGGTTATTTGGCTAGTGAGGCTCAAAATCAAATAATGGCCTTAATCACATTTGAATCATGCATGGTCTAATTAGCTTTAAAAGAGAATCAAGGCAAGTTCTAGAGAAACAAAATTATGAAAGAAATCGCACAATAGAAAGAAAATGAGACCGAAGTGTCAGTCAATGGCTCAAAATCTCACAGGCTTATTGCTTACTTAATATAGCCACTACATATCAAACAGGAAATGCTAACAAACTAATCACAATTTGCCAAACTATTTATTCAATCATGTTATGAATTCCAAGAAGGGAAAAAAATATAA